GAGAGATGGTGATGAAAAATATGTCAGAATGCCCTAGAAATTAAGTGTATCACTCTAGCAACTGAGAGAGGTAATTGTGAATTTTGAAGAGAAAAAAGCAAAAGAGGAAAGAGAAAAAGTTATTACCTTCAGAATAACCGAGCCATTGAAAATATGTCTTTAACTGTTAAGTTGATTGGATTGCTGTGAAAATGTCAAGCATCTCTGTGCTAATTGCTTAGAACATCCTTCTATTTACTACTTTAAAAAAAGTAATAAAATGTAAAAAAGTACCTTAGATCTAGATTTTTGAATCTACACAAGTATGTTCATTTTAGACTTTACAATGGTAAATGTGTAAAGCATGTTTCAAATTTTTCAGTTAATTCCTTTATAAAAGCGACCTTTATTCAAGGAATCTCTAGTGAGGGTGAGGTTATCATAGACTTTTCTTGCTAATTTGGGGTTGCAAATTTCTAACCAACTTTCTACAAAAATGTGGTATGAGACAAATATGAGAAATAAATGACATTTCTTTTCCTCTGTGGGATCCCATGCTTCATAAGAAACACTTGAAGTGTTTCTGTATTCCAGTTTAGGAAAATGTTTTGGGGCAACAGCTTAAAAGCAACACTTATGTGATTTTTAAAGCAATCTTTGATGAAATCTAAGAAAATGAGGCATTTGTATTAGGCTAAAATGTTTCTCAAACTTTATCACAGCTAATCAAACTTAGAGTCAAATAAGATACAGGCCGAATAAAAGTTTCCACATAGAACAAAATCTTTTTTTGTTGTTAAATTTGACTTATGGCACATTTTAATATTTTTTTCTCACTTTTCTACTTTGTTACATTCTATTCTCAAGCCTTTGGGTTGCTCCTTATTCTTAAATTCATACATGCCATGTATTGTGCTATAATTCATTCTTGGATGATGACTATATTGACTACATTACAGAATGATTTGAGAAAAATAATTGTTCTTTTTTCTCATTCATTGTCATTAAACCAATCAAAAGCATTAGGCTTGTCATGGGGTTTCTGACTGTTTTAGTCTGATAGGGCAGTCATAACAAAATACCATAGGCTGGTTGACTTGAACAAGAGAAATTTACTTTCTCACAGTTTGGAAGCTGTGAAGTCCAAGATCAAGGTGCTAGCCAGTTGAGATCCTGGTGAGAGCCTGCTTCCTCACTTGCAGATGGCCGCCTTCTCCCTATGTGCTCACATCGCCTCTCTTCAGGTGCATGTGCTTGGAGAGAAGGAGAGAGGTTTCTCTCTCTCTTCCTCTTCATATAAGCCACTGTACTATCAGATTAGGACCCCACCCTTATGAGCTTATTTAACCTTAATTACCTCCTAAAGACCCTATCTCCAGATACAGTCACATAAGGCATTAGGGCTCCAACATACGAATTTTGGGCTTCAACATATGAATTCAACATGTGAATTGAACACAATTCAGCTCATTGCACTGATATGTCCACAGATCTGTGTCAGTATTTCCAGTGGTTTATCATGCTGATGGTGTTTCAGTTTCTGCAATCAACATTTACAGACTGTACTGACACTGCCAGATTCGGGGCATATACTCTGTACCTGACACTATGCTAGATTTGGGGCATTATAGGAATATGTAAAAGAGATTGCTGATTTTAAGTTTATAGTCTGATAGTCAAGGTTGAATGTATATATCCACAAACGTCATTAATAGTTCTGAAATAAGTAGTATCAAATAGGCTAAAAGTAAGATCATAGTTAATACACTTTTAAAATCCACTCTGATATGAATACCACTATTAGACCTTTCCAAGGCTGTCTTGTGGTTACTTTCTTAAGTTAGGTAGTAAAAGTTCAGGAGATACCTGGAGTATATAAGCATTGAGCCTAGCTCTGTTCTGCCAGCTTCCTTGGTATTATTGTGACTACTAGGTTTTAAAACTGTTTCTATGTGTGTTTGCTCTTTTGTTTATTTTAGTCGGTGGACCCACCTTTTCCTTTTTACACTGGTGTGTCGATGGCCTTTTCTTGTAATAACAGTTGACATAATTCTGTTGAACTGAAAGAAAACACTACCAAGAAAAAAAAAAAAAAAAAGAAAACACTACTAAGGAAAACACTAGATTTTTCCAACTTTCCTAGACCTCTGTCTGGAGGAATGTAGAGAAAGAGATACCAGTGTATAGCCAAATATTTCAGGCTTTCAGCCATTCTTCTCTTTCTTTGGGATTGACATCATTGCCCTTACACTATTCTTATACTGAATTGAAATTACGATACATATTTTTTTGCCTGTCTAATTGGCAAATGTTCAAACCAGCAATAATAATAACCATTGCTGGGTAATAGTCAAATATATGAGCATTCCCTTACTTTTATGAGAGAAGCGTGAATTCCTCAATTTGTTTTGGAAAATAAATCTAGCAGCAACTATATGAATAAAACATCTATACATTGTATAGCAATTTAAATTATTGAATTCTAACATATTAAAATCGCACTTGATAAATAACATATATAGACATAATACTATTTGTATAATTGTAGTGACAATAAATCATAAACTGTCTGAACGTCCATCAATGAGTAACTGATTAAATCATGGCGCTTGTGCATGTTTATGCACATACACAGGCAACAGAAAATGATGCAGCTCTTAAGGAGAGTTATATTTATTTGTATTGGGACATATAAATGGTCCCAAATGGGAGGGATGCTCACAATACAGAGAGAGATTTAGAAAAGCAAAATCAGAGTAAAATGAATAATACCAATACATTTAAACAGTCAAAACCTAAAAATATGGGACTGAGTGCAGTGGCTCATACCTGTAATCCCAGCACTTTGGGAGGCCAAGTCAGGCAGATCACTTGAGGTCAAGAGTTTGAGACCAGCCTGACCAACATGGTGAAACCCTGTCTCTACTAAAAATATGAAAATTAGCAGGGTGTGTTGGCACCTGCTTGTAGTCCCAGCTACTCTGGAGGCAGAGGTTGCAGTGAGCTGAGATTGTGCCCCTGGGGTTTCTTCAGCCTGGGTGACAGACTGAGACTCTATCTCAAAACAACAAACAAACAAACAAAAAACATCCCAAAACAGTTTATGTGCTTGACCAAAGAGAAAATAGGGTCAAGTACATACCCAGTTCTTCACATTTTTAAACTAAGGGAGGTATGGGAGGATTTTTGACTTTTTACTCATTTGTATATTCACTTATTATATCAGAGATGGAAAGACACAGAGAAGAAAAGGAGAGGTAGAACACCATTTTGTTGTTGAATGTTGGGTGAGAGAAAGGCTGGACACCAATATGACAGCAAGATTCATTCCACTCCCCTAAATAGAAACCAGTGACTGTCTCTGATTTTTTGAACACAGAGATTTGGAGGAGGATGGTGACTGAGGAGAAAGAAAATATGGGCCAAGTCATGTGCAGTTGTTGACAGTCCTCTCTCCTGTACAGTTGTCTTTTATGTTGCTAGGGCACCTCTCTCCCTAATTATGTTCAGGGGAAGTTCTGCCCATATTTGTGCCAAGTTCCTAAGGGGGGCAGGATGAGGCAGTAAAGGATATTGATGAAAGAGGGTGCATCTACTCCAGGTATAAACAGAAACTTTCAGATGAGCCAAGAAATTCACCAGATGTTCAGGCTTCCCTTGCTTCCTCCATCCACAGAACCAAGCACCAATTTGTATGTGGGGATGTCACTGTCCCAAGATTTGCTAGGAGAAGAATATGGTGGGATGATATTTGAGGTTTTTAATCTATACTTTTTATTTTATCTAAACATATTTTTCTTTGCCTGTTCCTCCTCATTCAGGAAGGTAACCGGCCCTAGGAAGTGTGAGACAGGTAATGTTTTTGTCTGTTAATTTTGAGTTACTGAAATCTGAAGAAGTCAAACAACGTACCCAGAAAAGGAAAACTTGAGAATTTGTGAGCCTAGATGACATGTCTTGGCCAGAGATAGGATGGGAGGTGAATTTTCCAAGATAGAAAGAGATCCCCATGGGGATAGGGAACTGTAGGGAAGAGGAGAGGAATGTCAGTGGGAGCAGGTAGATGGAGTCAGTGACCTTATTTTCAACTCCATGAAGACAGGGATGGAAAGATCCTAAACAGAAAGTGGATGCTTAGTATTGAGGCAGATGAAACTAAGAGGAGCCATTTTCCCAATGACAGACATTTTGGAATTACAAAAAAATGCTGCAGGGAGCATACTCGTATCCCTGTGCTAGTGTTTCTGGATTTTATACCCTAGAAGTTGTCTTGCTGAGTCCTGAAGTTCCAACTTTGCTAGGTATTGCAAAGATGCTTTCCAAATCATACCAGTGTACTCTTTCAACCTCATATTTTTCTTCACAAATGTATGCTACACTGCCTATAGTAAAATGTCAATATTCATTAATTATCAGTAATTAACATTAAGAATTTGTAAGTTTCCTGTCTCCCCTACTTCCTTACCACTACTTGTCATTGCCAGACTTTTGAAAAATTTCCAGTCTGATGGACGTGAAAGAGTATCTTGTCTTAATTTGCATGTTTCTATTACCAGCAAGTGACAGCTTTTTTCCACATATCTTTGTTGGCCATATGGAACTTCTCTTCTGTGAACTGAAGGTTTATGTTTATCTATTTACTGGACTTTTTTAGTTTCCTCTTTTATAGGAATTTTTAAATATTCTGTATTGCAACTATTTTTCAACTGCCTTATAAATATCTTCTGGTGGTTGCCTTTTAACTTGATTAATAGTGTTGAATATATAAAAATTTCAAATAGTAATATCATTAATTTTATTACTTGTTTTAGTTTGTACATAATGGTTTTCTCTGTTATTTCTTTATTTCAACAGACTCAATTTTTAAAAAATTGTACTTTAAGTTCTGATATACATGTGCAGATCTTGCAGGATTGTTACATAGGTACACACATGCCACGGTGATTTGCTATCTCCATCCCCCTGTCGCTTACAGCAGGCATTTCTCCCAGTGTTATCCCTCCCAACCTCCCTGACCACCACTGTCCCTCCCCTAGCCCCACACCCCCCAACATACCCCAGCGTGTGATGTTCCCCTCCCTGTGCCCATGTATTCTAATTGTTCAACACCCACTTATGAGTAAGAACATGAAGTGTTTGGTTTTCTGTTCTTGTGTCAGTTTGCTGAGAATTATGGTTTCTAGATTCATCCATGTCCCTACAAAGGACACAAACTCATTGTTTTTTATGGATGCATAGTATTCCATGGTGTCTATGTGCCATATTTTCTTTATCGAGTCTATCATTGATGGGCATTTGGATTGCTTCTAGGCCTTTACTATTGTAAACAGTGCCACAATGAACATAGGGGTGCATGTGTCTTTGTATAGAACGATTTATAATCCTTTGGGCATATACCCAGTAATGGGATTGCTGGATCAAATGGAATTTCTATTTCTAGGTCCTTGAGGAATCACCACACTGTCTTCCACAATGGTTGAACTAATTTACAGTCCCACTAACAGTGCTAAAGTGTTCCTATTTCTCCACATCCTCTCCAGCATCTGTTGTCTCCAGAGCTTTTAATGATCACCATTCTAACTGGCATGAGATGGTATCTCAATGTGGTTTTGATTTGCATTTCTCTAATGAACAGTGATAATGAGCATTTTTTCATATGTTTGTTGGCCTCATATATGTCTTCTTTTGAAAAGTGTCTCTTCATATCCTTTGCCCACTTTTGAATGGGTTTTTTTTTTTTTTTTTTTTTTTTTTTTTTTTTTTGCTTATAAATCTGTTGTAGTTCTTTGTAGATTCTGGATATTAGACCTTTGTCAGATGTGTAGATTGCAAAATTTTTTCCCCATTCTGTTGGTTGCTGATTCACTCTAATGATTGTTTCTTTTGCTGTGCATAAACTCTTAAGTTTAATTAGATCTCATGTATCTATTTTGGCTTTTGTTGCCATTGCTTTTGGTGTTTTAGTTATGAAGTCCTTGCCTATGCCTATGTCCTGAATGCTATCACCTAGGTTTTATTCTAGGATATTTATGGTATTAGATTTTTTGTTTAAATCTTTATCCATCTGGAGTTAATTTTAGTTTAAGGTGTAAGGAAGGGGTCCAATTTGTGTTTTCTGCACATGGCTAACCAGTTTTCCCAACACCGTTTATTAAACAGGGAATCCTTTCCCCATTGCTTGTTTTTGTCAGGTTTGTCAAAGATTGGGTAATTGTAGATATGTGATGTTGCTTCTGAGGCCTCTGTTCTGTTTCACTCGTCTATATCTCTGTTTTGGTACCAGTACCATTCTGTTTTGATTACTGTAGCCTTGTAGTATAGTTTGAAGTCAGGTAGCGTGATGCCTCCAGCTTTGTTCTTTTTGCTTAGGATTGTCTTGGCTATGTGGGCTCTCTTTTGGTTCCATATGAAGTTTCAAGTGTTTTTTTCTAGTTCTGTGAAGAAGGTCAGTGGTAGCTTGATGAGGATAGCATTGAATCATATGAAGTTTAAAGTGTTTTTTCTAGTTCTGTGAAGAAGATCAGTGGTAGCTTGATGAGGATAGCATTGAATCTGTAAATTACTTTGGGCAGTATGGTCATTTTCATGATATTGATTCTTCCTAACCATGAGCATGGGATGTTTTTCCATCTGTTTGTTTCCTCTCTTATTTCCTTGAGCAGTAGTTTGTAGTTCTCCTTGAAGACGTCCTTTACATCCTTTGTTAGTTGTATTCCTAGGTATTTTATTCTCTTTGTAGCAACTGTAAATGGGAGTTCTCTCTTTATTTGGCTGTTTGTCTGTTATTGGTGTATAGGAATTCTTGTGATTTCTGCACATTGATTTTGTACTCTGAGACTTTGCTAAGTTGCTTATCAGCTTAAGGAGATTTTGGGCTGAGATGATAGGGTCTTCTAAATATACAATCATGTCATCTGCAAATAGAGACAACTTGACTTCCTCTTTTCCTAATTGAATATCCTTTATTTCTTTTTCTTGCCTGATTGCTCTGGCTAGAACATCCAATACTATATTGAATACAAGTGGTGAGAGAGGGCATTCTTGTCTAGTGCCAGATTTCAAGGGTAATGCTTCCAGTTTTTGCCCATTCAGTATGATATTGGCTGAGGGTTTGTGGTAAATAGCTTTTATTATTTTGATGTAAGTTCCATCAGTACCTATTTTATTGAGGGTTTTTAGCATAAAGGTCTTTTGAATTTTGTCAAAGGCTGTCTCTGCATCTGTTGAGATAATCATGTGGTTTTTGTCTTTGGTTCTGTTTATGTGATGGATTATGTTTATGGACTTGCTTATGTTTATCCCCAGGATGAAGCCTACATGTTTGTGATGGATAAGCTTTTTGATGTGCTGTTGCATTTGGTTTGTCAATATTTTATTGAAGAGTTTTGAATCTATGTTCATCATGGATCTTGGCCTGAAGTTTTCTTTTTTAGTTGAGTCTCTGTGGGTTTTGGCATTAGGATAATGTTGTTCTCATAAAATGAGTTAGGGAGGATTCCCTCTTTTTGTATTGTTTGGAATAGTTTCAGAAGGAATGGTACCAGCTCCATTTTGCACATCTGGTAGAATTCAGCTGTGAACCTGTATGAAACTCAACTTTTTTTTGGTTGGTAGGCTATTAATGGCTGCCTCAACTTTAGCCCTTGTTATTGGTCTATTCAAGGTTTTGACTTCTTCCTGATTTAGTCTTGGGAAGGTGCAAGTGTTTAGGAATTTATCCATTTCTTCCAGATTTACTGGTTTATTTGCATAGAGTTGTTTGTAGTAATCTCTGATGGTAGTTTGTGTTTCTGTGGAATTGGTGGCGATATCCCCTTTACCGTTTTTTATTGCATCTGTTTGATTCTTCTCTTTTTTCTTTTTATTAGCCTATCTAGTGGTCTATTTTCTTGATCTTTCCAAAAAAACTGCTCCTGGATTTATGGATTTTTTGAAGGTTTTTTTTGTGTGTCTATCTCCTTCAGTTCTTCTCTGATCTTAGTTATTTCTCGTCTTCTGCTAGCTTTTGAGTTTTTTTGATCTTGCTCCTCTAGCTCTTTCAATTTTGATGATAGAGTGTCAATTTTAGATATTTCCTCGCTTCTCATATGGGCATTTATTGCTATAAATTTCCTTCTAGACACTGCTTTAAGTGTGTCCCATAGATTCCGGTATGTTGTGTCTTCGTTCTTATTGGTTCCAAAGAATATCTTTATTTCTGTCTTCATTTCATTGTTTATCCAGTCAGTTGTTCAGGAGCCAGTTGTTCAGTTTCTGTGTAGTTGTGTAGATCTGAGTGAGTTTCTTAATCCTGAATTCTAATTTGATTGCACTGTGGTCTGAGAGAATGTTTATTATGATTTCCATTCTTTTGCATTTGCTGAGAAGTGATTTACTTCCAATTATGTGGTCAATTTTAGAGTAAGTGTGATGTGATGCTGAGAATAATGCATATTTTGTGGATTAGGGGTGGAGAGTTCTGTAGATGTCTATAAGGTTTGCTTGGTACAGATCTGCATTCAAGTCCTGGATATCCTTGTTGATTTTCTGTCTCGTTGATCTAATATTGACAATGGAGTGTTAAAGTCTCCCACTGTTATTTGTGGGAGTCTAAGTCTCTTTCTTTGTAGGTCTTTAAGAATTTGCTTTATATATCTGGGTGTTCCTGTATTGAGTACATATATATTTAGGATACTTAGCTCTTCTTGTTGCTTTGATCCCTTTACCATTATGTAATGCCCTTCGTTGTCTCTTTTGATTTTTGTTAGTTTAAAGTCCATTTTATCAGAGACTAGGATTGCAACCCATGCTTTTTTTTTCTTTCCATTTTCTTGGTAAATCTTCATCTATCCCTTTATTTTGATTCTATGTGTGTCTTTGCACATGAGATGGGTCTTCTGAATACAGCATGCTCATGGATCTTGATTTTTTAAGAGTCCACTCAGTTTTTTAAGAGCAGTTTGCCAGTCTGTGTCTTTTGATTGGGGCACTTAGGCCATTTACATTTAATGTTAATATCGTTATGTTTAAATTTGATCCTGTCATTTTGTTACTAGCTGGTTGTTTTGTCCATTGCTTGACACAGTTTCTGCATTGTGTTGTTGGTCTTTACCATTTGGCATGTTTTTGCAGTGGCTGATACTGGTTTTTCCTTTCTGTATTTAGTGCTTCCTTCAGGAGCTCTTGTGAGGCAGGTCTGGTGGCAATGAAATCTCTCAGCAATTGCTTGTCTGTTAAAGGATTTTATTTCTCCTTTACTTATGAAGCTTAGTTTGGCTTGATATGAAATTCTGCTTGAAAGTTCTTTTCTTTAATGATAGTAAACATCGGCCCCCGCTTTCTTCTGGCTTGTAGGGTTTCTGTGGAGAGATCCACTGTGAGTCTGATTGGCTTCCCTTTGTGGGTGACCCAACCTTTCTCTCTGGCTGCCCTCAGCATTTTTTCCTTCTTTTTGACCCTGGTGAATCTGATGATTATGTGCCTTGGGGTTGCTCTTCTTGAGGAGTATCTTTGTGATGTTCTCTGTATTTCCTGTATTTGAATGTTGGTCTCCCTTTCTAGGTTGGGAAAGTTCTCCTGACTAATATGCTGAAGAGAGTTTTCCGGCTTGTATTTGTTCTCCTCATCACATTCAGGTACACCAATCAAGCGTAGATTAAGTCTTTTCACATAATCCCATATTTCTTGGAGGCTTTGTTCATTTCTTTTCACTCTTTTTTTCTATATTCTTACCTTCTCATTTTATTTCATTGAGTTGATCTTCAATCTCTGATAGTCTTTCTTCTGCTTGATTGATTCAGCTATTGAAACTTGTGTGTGTTTTGTGAAGTTCTTGTGCTGTGTTTTGCAGCTGCATCGTCATTTATATTCTTCTCTAAGCTGGTTTTTCTAGTTATCATTTCATCTAACTTTTTTCAAGATTTTTACTTTCTTTGCATTTGGTTATAACATGTTCCTTTAGCTCAGAGAAGTTTGTTATTACCCACCTTCTGAAGCCTGCTTCTGTCAATTTGACAAACTCATTCTCCATCCTGTTTTACTCCCTTGCTGGTG